GTGGGACACTATCGAGCGAATTTGGGGGAACGACATCAGTAGATCTGATTGTCATGAACGCCGATTCCGCAGCACTGACCGGCAATTGATTACTTGAAGCCCAAGAGTCTAACTAAATGAGGTCCTTTTGCAGGGCGGCTATGTCGTTAGCACTTATGACATCGCGCCATATTTTCAGATTGTCGGCGAACAAGACAAACGGTGAGGATAGGCATTGTTTCAGATCCTGAAAGTAGATGGATAACGAATTGGGGCCAAGAAGGGATCCTTGAGGAACCCCAGGTGATGCGACCTCGGCCGGAGATAATACACCTCCGACACTGACACTCCACGTCCTATCACTCAAATGTGACCGAATCCAGTTCAGAATGTTGCCACCAATACCAAGAGTTGCTAACTTGTGTACCATCAATTGGTGAGAAACCCTGTCGTCTGCATATTTGAGATTGTGTGAATTTTTCAGGACTGTTGAGATTTCATTTATGAATAAAGTGTAGAGGACGCAAGACAGTGCCTTGAAAAACGCCCCTCGTGATCAACTAAGCCGTGGAGTAGCTGTTACCTACTAAGACCTCCTGGTTGCGGTTTGACAGAAAGGAACCTATGAAGTCGAGGAGAGGAGGACGGATGCCAATGACTTCCAGTTTTACTAGAAGACGTCTGTGCGGTACCTTGTCAAAGTAGATCGCAACCACTGATTGCTGCTCGTTACAGAGGGAAGTGGCGAGGATAAGAAAAGTAAAATCACACGTTTCGCATGTTCGCCCAGGTAGAAAACAATGCTGTTAATCGCTTAAAACTTGTTTCCTACATTAAAAAATCGAGAAATTGATTAAAAATGATCTTTTCTAGAAGTTTGGCTAAGGCCGGGGTTTTATGAACGCTTCGGTAATTATTCACGTCCGAGTGTGTTACGGAGGCTGCATCCCACATGCACTCACGGCAGCCGGCTAAAAGGACAGACCAATTGAGCCCTGCCCACAATCGGGCCGACCGGAGTACGTCACGCCCTCATACTAGACGCCCACGCCCGCGCGTACGCCGTGAGCCGAGAAAACCAGACGACCACCCACATAGCGGGTGCAGTGGTTGTAGTCGAGATCATTCTAGAATGTTTACGTGCAGCCAATACGCTAGGAATATTCTGGAAAGACCGGAGCCACATAAATATGCCGGAGTGGACAAGCTAAAGGGACTCTGCAGTCTCATCCCCGTATGGCACTCCCGATCGAGATATAAGTCGTGGTGGAGCCCTTACCTGCCGCCAAACTTAACACCTGAATCCTGGCTTATTCTTCAAACACTTTCCCCCACGAGCGACAGTTTTTCTCCTAAAAAACTACAAAATACCTTCCACTTTGTGAATTCTCAGCCATACCTTAGAAGTTTTTCACTGTCTGCTCTTTTGCTCAGTTACACCTGCTTACACCTACTTAGAACAAATGAGTAGTCACCCACAATTGCGTAAACGACCTTCTTTGAAATGTTCGGCATTATCGATGCATTTCTTGACTACTGTGCATCGATTGGCAGTTCAAAGGCGTTTGCCTATATTTCCCTTAATAAATTGACTTGACTTTATTTGACCGGCAGACACGGACGGCTCCGACCACTCAGCAGACACTGCACGCCACACAGTCTTTGTGTGCTGTTAAATACAGTCATTGCCTATCAGAACCACTCTCTTGTCTTCTTCTGCCATCAAGTCGGGTCAGAATAAACTGCGCTATAGCGGAATGAGATGCTGACTTGAAGACTGAAACAATGATAGACGTTTTCCTTCAGTCAGGAAAGAAACCGTTTAGAAGATAAGCTTAAAATGCATGACTAAATTATCGTGGAAGCTCTACACTCTCTTGATAAGTGAGTTTGGAATACCGTCAGTGCAAGTTTTTTAGACGAACAATTTTCTTTCGAATTAATTATACTGAGAACTCAATGGTTATGATAATATTGACTAAGGTTTTATTTTCATTCAGCAATGGGGGGCATTCATGTCTTCGTTTAGGGGCGGACCGATGACGGAACTGTTGGGCAACCGATTTTGCAGAGGTAAACTCTCTAAATGCGTGAGAATACCTCTGCTTGTCACGTGCAAGATGAATCTTAGACACTAATTCGAAGATCTCTGCGATTCTTAGGTGCACAGATAATGAACTAGTAGGTCGACCTTTCAACTGCCTCCTCAATTTCTTTAGTCTTGGCAAAATAAATTAGGGGACGGTCGATTCTTCTGCATAGAGTTTCGTAATTTTAATGGGCAAAAATTTCAGCATTTTGTTAGAAATGGCCGACGTGAATGCAGAAAGACATGCAGCACCATTCGTGGTATGGAAATTTGGGTCATTATAAGCAAGTGAAAGCGTACGTCACGGCTGCTGGTTGTAGTGGTGGAAGTAGTAATTTGCAAATGTCTAGCTGTTATTTTTCATAGTTAGGGTCACATCTTTGAATCTTTTAAAATAAAAGTAGGCTCGAAGAAAATAATGAGAGTTTTCTAGAAACTTTGCCGGCTTACGATTGGAGTCCGACGACGTTCGCAAAACTCTTTTAGACCAATGCGATATCTACTAACAGGTATTTATGGTGATACTTGCAAACCTTTGTGAAAAACCTCCTACTCAACGTAATTATTTACAATACTGATAGCATGTATTTCAGCTGAAAGCCCAGACATGCCTTTTTAATCATACCTTGACTGCTGCTTAACGCAGGTAGTTGGGCCCCCCAGCACATCCCTTACACCTCTTGTAGCCATCCATATTAAAAGTGACTCGTGAGACCTAAAATCAGTAGAACAAGCTATCATCTTGATCCTGTCATTTACTGATGGCTTGTGATAGTGGTTCGAAACTATCTTGTGATGTCTAATTTTTTTGTCGCTTTTTGAAATTTATTCGAAGTCATAATGCTCATTTCATATACTTTCTTTTCGGTTTCTGACCATTTCCATAATCGCAGTGTATTCGTTTGCCTGTCACCGTGCTGGCTGCCTTCTAAAATTCTCCATTTCTTCTTTTGAAGGGCCACAATGATGTTCTCTTCTGGTGACAAAATAGATATCTGATATTTTTTAACATGCCTGTATCGTAGCGTTTATATCCTTCCCACTGATTTGACTATGGGCATACATACTGCAGACCATAAAATACCCAATAAACAAACGACCCTCCGAGTGTTATTTTTAAAACCGTTTATTTTCCAACCGTGTCTGTCAAATAAACAGTTCGGATTCTCGTACATATGGCAGAAGATAATGAGTGGCAGAAACTTCCTACAATTGAAAAAATCGAGCATAAGGTTTGTGTTTTTTCCACTTTTATTAACCTTTGTGATCAGCAATGGAAGGCTCGCGTTGAAGGGTATGAAGAGGCCGTCAAGTTATTTTCCACCCAGTCATCCGATAAGAGTCCCGTATTCAACGATTATGTGGGCCTTATGAAAAAAATGGTCGTTGACAGCAACGCAATAGCTCAGGAAAAGGCCATGTTAGCTGTTTTAGCTTTTGCAGAAAACGCAGCTATCGCAACCCGGTAAGTTAATTTTTGTCTTGTATTGTCTAGTGTTGTCTCCGACGTCTGTTCTGGGATTGTCAATAAATGCCTTAATTCAACGCGCGCGAAAACAAAAGAAAAAGGAATTGAAATTCTTCTCATTTACATCGAACTAGAAAAGGGCGATGTAGTTGTGGAGGAATTGCTCAAGGGCTTATCAGCCAAGCAGCCGAAAATCGTAGTTGGATGCGTACAAGCTCTCAAAGAGGCTCTTTCGTAAGTTTATCTTAGGTTTTTTAAAACAGAATTAAGGCTCTTCGGCTCAAAAGTAGTCTCAATCAAGACTGTTCTAAAGGACACTCTTCGCCTTCTTGAAGATCGTGATGGAACGGTTCGAAATGAATCCAAAGAGCTTATAGTCGAAATGTATAGGTGGGCAGGACCTGCCATAAAACCACAACTCTCTGGATTGAAACCTGTCCAGGTAATAAATAGTAATAAATGCATATTTTCAAGATAACTGAACTTGAAGCGGAGTTCGCGAAGTTGCCAGCCGCTAAACCTGTGCCTACTCGGTACCTTATCAGCCAAAAGCCCAAAGAAGATCCACATGCAGCAGAGATAGCGTCTGATAAAGGCCCTCAAGAAAGCCAGGACAACGAACCACAACTTGACGCATATGCTCTTGCCGATCCAGTGAACATTTTATCTAAAATTCCAAACGACTATTGGGAAAAGATAGTAATGCATAGAAGAATAGTTTTAATGTAATTTTAGGAAGCCAAAAAGTGGCAGGAACGAAAGGAAGCCCTAACGCTTGTAGAGCAATTGACAGATGTCATCAAACTCGATAATGGAGACTATTCGGCTCTTCTGAATTCATTAATTAAAGTAAGTGTGTCACACTTTTAACTTTATCGCTCTAGGTTATTTCCAAAGACACCAACATTCTTTTGGTTGGCCAAAGTGCCAAAATCGTCGCACAGATCGCAAACGCCCTACGGGACGGATTCAAACCGTATGCCATCTCCACTATAAAGGCCTGTTTTGAGAAATTCAAAGAAAAGAAACCGACTGTGCTTGTCGCCATTCGGTCAGCGGCAGATGCAGCCCAAAAATCGGTAATATATCATTCTTGTCTCCTTTATTTTAAATATGTTTAACTATCAACTTGTTACTTCATATAAATGATAATGATAGCAGCAGGAATTAGATCTTGCCTGAATAGTCTTTTTATTGAAAATCTTAAAGCGTCCATTTTTAGAACACGAAAGCCAGATTTATATTTGGTTCCAAATGCTCGGTTTTACTAATGTACTCTAACTACTGGAATTAAACGAAGATGTCTGGGTAGAAAGAATACGCGCGTTTTCATTCACCCAGAAACTGTATTCGAATTTCGTACCAAAATGATGACTGAAAGATACTCAAGTATTTTTTAAATGAAAATTGTGAATGCAACTGCTAATGAGGTTTTGCGACAAATATCTGGCCGACTTGAGAGACACGGACTACGAAATTTAGCCTACCATAGTGCTTTGGCATCTATCTCAAGTTCATAGCATGTTTAAGTCCCTCAACTCCACAATTCAGGATCTTTCCTGGCATTATTTCAATACACTACTAGGCTAAAGTGGGAGATTATGGAAAATGATAGCCATCCATAACTACATTGAGATTTTTTAAGTCTTCCTGCACCTCATCTTTTTCTATAGGTAACGTTGGACAGTCTGCAGGAAGACATCATCGAAGCATTAAATAACAAAAATCCGGGCATTCGTGCCGAGACTGCCCTCTTTCTCAGTCGCATTTTCGCCAAAATGACCATTGTCACACTGAACAAGAAGATACTGAAGACATTTGTAGTACCTCTTCTCAAGTGTTCCGCCGATATGGTGCTTGAGGTGCGAGAGGCG